TGCGTAAAATAGCACTTCCCTTTGGACAATATCAAGTCGAATAATGAATGAAAATACACAAATTGAATTTCTACAGAACTGTCTAAATAACAAGGAATACCCTTCTGAGTTTTACAAAGTCCTTTGATGAGGGAGAGTAGGCCCAACTTTTAAAAGCCCTGACCGTTTCACACAATCAAAGATAGAGGAGTCTATTCAGTTGGTGGATCATAACAATCCTTTCCTGTATCAGACGAAACACAGTCTGGATAAGATAAGTGTCTATTTCTGGTCTATGTTCATCAAACATACATATATCATAAAAAGCAAAACTAGAGAAATATTTTGTGGTTACAGAACACTTGCCAGATACCGGTCATTCCGTGGGCCCTAAAACTTCTTTTCGAGTACTTGTTCGGGCACAAACAAGTCGTACCTTGCGCTACCTTGAGGCAGCCTACATACGGCGGTCAAAACCTGACCTATATCAACAGTTAGAGCATGTGGTTAACCTAGCTTTGGCTTGGTAACATCCGGCCCCCTGATTTACACAGTCCCTTACCCACCTTTTTGCCTTAACGCCTTTTTCCTCTGCTTTTCTTTCCACATTGTTTTAACTCGCTTATTTTACTAATTAGCCTTCGTGATCATGCCCTATGACCTTTTTAACCCTTCTGTACGAATTCAATTTTGTATATTTCAGTTGTTACTCATATTTTGTCATGATAGGTAGCAGCTGGAGCTCTCGCGAAATTTCATGGATCCAATTAATCCTGCTGTTTTTGCCATCTTCAAATTTGCAGCTGGGAAACATTATTTTAATTTCTGGAAAGGAGTATTGCCATTGGACCAAACGGCACCCACGGGTCTTCTATTGAGGCGAAAACCAACAACGCAGACACTTATCCAACTTGCCGGATGTCCACCACATTGTCGAGGCAGCAGGAGAAGAAAAAAACTTTTAACAAGCCTGAGAAATAATAATTCACAAAGTTATTGGAATTCCCGTCCGATTATTTCCATTAAATGCTTGGACAAGTGATGGGCTGACCAATTGCGTCGAACCGTCCACAAAACAATCAATCGCTTACAAAGAGCCGAACGCCAACGAACCTTTCAAAGTTAGCAGTTGTTTTTATGATTTCGTAGGCCAGTGACTTCACGCTCTACTTATCCGCTTTTATAATGATTATGCCCACCAGCAAAACGGAGACCCAATTCTGGTGGCATAAGAAATGTAGAGGGAACTATGTTCTAGGTGCATGTAGACTTACATTATTTTCGCGACTCTTCTCTTGGGCCTTTTTCTCCGCTTTGTTTTGGGCCGCGAAGGCTGCCTGGGTCTAAATTCAGGTTAGCAACTCTCCGAAAGGACACCAATTTATACCATTTTGTTAGCTTCCTCGAAAAGAGATGCCTGCAGTTCCATGCATTCCTTATTCAACTCTTCAATGTACTGTTTCAGTTTCGCATTCTCTTCGCTGAGACACTGATTTGACTGTTTTGACTCCATATGCTGTGAAAATCAATCCGGAAAGAGAGTTTCTGAAACGGATGGAGGTAGATATTAGATTGAGACAAAATCTACAAACAGTATAGCGGGAGTCCACAAAGAAGTGCATTGGTCTTTAGACCTTCACTCCGAAGCGGCAGAGATCCCAGTTGAAGGTTCAGCTGGTACCAGAGGAAAGGGTTTCCGGAGTTTTACGCCTGCACGTTTCCCCAGTATCAAGCAATATCGCTGTACAGTAGCAACGGCCAACAATGATTACGTTCCAGGGGGTAGTCTGAGCAAACCCTACCTGTCCAGCACAATTCAGCGCGCATCTAACTATTTCTACTAATTGCTGTTTAGCGCGTGCTTTCACATAGTAGATGAAGGCCTGATTCAGTAACCTGCTAAGTGACTAACACGGATGCGGGATTCAAACATATAGTTGGTGCATTTAAATGGCTTACTTAAAAAATCTGAGCGACAAAAATTAAAAAAAACATCTAAAACGATAGTTGTTGCAGTGCTGTACTGAACAAAAAGATAGCAAGAAACCTGAGATCTTAGGCTAGAGTTACAGGCTTCCATGAAGCCGAACACTGTCCAGTGCGAAGCGCATGCTTTCGATTTTTGATGGGACATCGTTTGCCAATCGGAGCAGAAAAATGCCAGTTCTAAGTAAGACAGAGTTTTAATCAACAGGATGAACGATTGCGACGAAAGTTCACCACCCATCATAATGAATTTAGCAAAAACAAGCGGTGTTCAAAGTTTCGGCCAATTAAAAGTTGGAGCACACCGAAAAATCGCTCGCAGGACGATACAGTCAGGAGAGGGACGATGTGAAACCTCAGTATGGGTCAGAAGCTGAGGGCTCTATCAACTAGGGGGTTCACTACCGCTAAGTCAGCAGGGTGAGAAATTCAAGTTCTAATCTACGTCCAAGGCGTTAAAAAGAAGTTGAAACAATAACTGACCCATCGCGCTGCCAGCTACAATTCGTGTAGCCTGATTCTAGCATTTCTTCAGTTTGGCTCGCGTAACTGCAAGGAAAATCGGTGCATGGAATCTAGTAGTCAAAGACAGGCTGTTCATCACATCTCGATTAGTCAGTCATGTCCTCGCACTATTTAACCGCACACTGTTCCCTTAGGCTGAGTATCAATGCCGACACCGAACCCTACGGCAAAAGCCCTATGAAACTATTGTAAAAATATGACAATAAAATTCGGCGCCTCAGTGGATTTCAGATCGTATATTTTAATGGACGAATTCACAAGAACCGAGGTAATAAATGTTCCTGCTCAACGATTCCACAGGAATTGGTCAGGCAGTTATCGGGTTTCTTACTTGCGTCCTTCAAGCGTGGTGCAGTGGATCCAGACTATTTGTAACGATATATATAATCAGTCTTGTCTGCGCGCCACTAGAAGATTTCCATCATATTTTGAATATTTTAATAATTCTATGCACTCGGGAATTCATGTCAATACTTTGTGTTTGTCTGACAAGAACACGGAGAGGAGGCAATTGCATGTCTCTCGTTCCAGAGTGTGCGCAAGAAAAGAGAAAATTGCGTCGAGAAAATCGTGGGAATTTCAATATAAAGAAAAGAAGGCGGGCTAGTAATGGCTGAAAATAGTTTGATCCATCTTGCTTATAAAAATTCTGCAGATTAAGCGGAGGTTGGATACATGAACGGAGTTCCTTTGACATCGACAAGGAATGCGAAGAAAGCCCTTAAGGAGATTTTGAATAAGCTCAGTAAGTATTTGACCATGAAGTATTCCAGTAGTGCCCAGTACCTTTCCTCCAGATGTTGGCGTATGATCTTGTGAGTTATGTCCATGAATAGTAATTTCAAGTCAAAAGACGCCGTATTTTATTTTGGCTGAACCTCCGGCCTAGAGAGGATAGCAGAGACACAAGGCTGCTGCAATATAAAACACCACTTTCCTGGGATTCTGAGACTTGAGTAGACACATTTTGTGATAAAAACGTTAAGAAGTACTGCTAGTTTTGGTAAACCGTGAAAACAGTAATCATTGTCTGGCGAACGACTTCAAATAAGGACTATTTGGCAGGAATGTTATAAATAGTAGGAAACGGCATTTAGACACCGAAAACAGCTACTTTTATAATTTCTTTAATAACCATACAGTTGACACCAAACACTGTTGGTCGGCTTCCGTTCATGCCCATAAATGAAACCCGTAAAGTTGGGTGCGCAGTTGGAAGAATGTATTCTATTATACAATGCACCTATTATGATAATTCTAAGAGATATGCATAGATAAATTTAAACCCCTAATGTGGTCTTCAGAAAAAAGGATACAATAATGGCATTTGAATTTATTTATCATGAAGCCAACTCCCTGTTGGGGTATATGGCGTGTCGTGAACGGGGTGCCACATCGCAATTTTATGGTTACTGAAAG